TGCCAATGGTGAAACTTCCAGCTATTTCTTATTATTATTCTTGATGATGAATAGCTAGCTGCGGGTAGCTTTACTCTTACCCTTGAAGTCTCTGTGTATGTATGCCGTGATGCAGAAAAGAACGCCACTGACCAGAGAATATCTTATGTTCAGGTCGTTCCCTGGATAACCAACCACTCATCGTTAGTCAGGAAAGTGGGCCTAGAGAATACCTTCTTTGTGGATATGCCATTGGGATGACCACTAAGAAGGAAGTCGTTGGGGATGCCTGTGCTTCTCAGGGCTGTCTTTCCTGACTAACATTAGCAGTAAAAAATTTCTGACAACACCAGGCTGGATGGTGGAACGGCCAAATAACTCTGAAGTGATTGAGCAGGTTGTGCTCTGGCTAGACACGTCTCCTGGTATTCCGCTGAAGATGTTATTGGTTTGAATAATTTTTCATTGGTGGCACTCGTCAATCCTGAAGGATCAGAGTGGAAGTAGACCTAGATCACTTGCCTATTGAAGAAGAGTGTCGTCGGTAACCGTGATACCCAGCTTTAGGACTATCATCTACATTCTTGATGCAGCTCGATGAACTACGGTAGTAGAGTGCAGAAGTTTTTGAGACGCTCCAGCCTATTATAACCACACTTGTTTAATTATGTTTCAGGTAGCTTCCATTTTATGTCGATGCCACCTAGCGGATCCTGCTGAACTAAAGTAAAAAGCTGGTGTATTTTTACAAAACTTTAAGTTTATTTATTGCTATTGTTATTAAGTTTTTCAAGATAAAAACTATACTAAAACCATCTAGGAAGTGTCAAGAATCGGTATGCAAAATTTTAGCGAAATCGGCTCAGTAGTTTTCGCGGTTAGCGATTACAACGGTTTCATCGACTTTGCTCTGTTTATTAGTAAGATTTATTTTTATTTACTATAAATGTGCATTTAAATTTCTTGACCATACCACTGTGATTCGTAGACTTCTTTTATTATGCTTCTCAGGCTCTTTAATTGCGCTTACCCAATCTTATAGGACCGGGAGAGCTCAGACGGTGATTAGCCTGGATGTTGCTCCATCAGATTTTTTGCCAAAACTTCAAGATGACCCCAAGTTTCTGTGCCCGTTCAAATACTTTTTCTTATTTATATAAGTTACCAAATGTTCCACTATCCCCATACGCAATTTTCGCATGCTGTTCACTGACGACCTCTAAAGTATCTTTAGTGGCAATTCAAAGAAGTACCTAAAAGAGTTAAGCGTCTAAACAAGAATGCAGCAGCTGTTATTCAATAGTATGTTAAAAGTGGCACGGAGGCCAGAGCGTTGAATACCAAGGTTATAGTTCTAGCATAATACGAGAATGTTTTCGGTTTTGATTTGACTACCATGCCTCAGATCGTTGTGGGTCTGATCCCTTACGTGACAGCTCACAGAGACCTAGTAATTAGTCTAATTGTTATCCCCAACCTATTCCAGATTGCTCGTGTTTCCTCAAATATTCATAGAATTTTGTACAGATTGTGCTATGGGGGCCACAGTTTCACCCCCTCCCTTACGTAAAAGCTGAACTTATTGGTACTCTGGCCTTACCCTATTTTGATTATTTTTACTAGATCTTTCATCTTGTGTCTTGGCTCTTCCTAGATATTTGAACTTATTGTTAAATAAATATATTAGAAGATAGTAGATCAATAACACTCATCAATAATCAAAACTACAAAATCTCCTCTCTCACTGTACCGAGAGACCCGATAAGAGCGTGAGTGCGAGGCAACGGCCATGTTTTGTCTGCCTCAACTGTATCACTCTACACAGTACACATACATATCATTGTGCAAGATTTGTCTTGCGCGCCCATGCCCTCCCCTCCCCCTCTTTCTGCTCAAAGAAGAGGGAGCTGCTGCTCGCTTGGTCTCTGCTAGCGCGAGCGCACGGATTGATCGAGTGGAGCCAACGTGTGTGCACGCCTCGACCTCCTGCTTCGCTGGGGACTCTCGAACCGGACCTCCACGTCGATCTGCCTACTATAAAATATCTGTTACGGCTGATCTGCCGATCTTGTATTTACTCGACGTCCTAATAAAGAGTAATTTAAACACTGGTCCTTTGAGCCAGATAGCGTGACTGGGACAGACAACCGCCAGAACCTCATCGAGCCCAGGACAGCCAGGATCACGGTGCTACGCGAAGCAATGTAAGTAGGACGATGTGAGATGCGATCATGCGAAAATACATTCTCTACGTCCGAGAATATATCGAGACATTGGGCCTCTGTTGCAAGTGATGCAATCGTGCAGAGCCGCGCCACGTGGTAGAGCGATTAGAGGTTGTGATAGCCTTAACAAGATGTGACAGGCAAGAGACGCTCCACCGCGACTGCCATGCAGTCCGCGTCGTGGACCTCGCGTGCGACCGCGATTACTCAGTCAGTGAGGCTGTTGAGAGGTTTTGGGTTGCAGATTGCAGGCTGCTTCATGTTTACTAGCTCACGTCATCCCGCGGCTGGTCAGATCGACAGATTCATTTGCGATTCCTCACGCCCTTTTTCTCAATATTCTACGTAGACTCATTTGGTACGCATGATTGCACCACAAGTAACAAGGCGCCGTTTGAAAGACAAGCGTCGAGCTCAGCGCGTGACTAATTTACAGGGATAACGAAGGCTGGCCCTCGTTGCTGGAAACGCAGCAAGCCCTGCTAGAGGTTCTCGCGGAATTCACTCAATCCGCCAAGAGCGTCGAAGTATGGAGCATGGGTCTCGTCGACGCCAGGTTTGAGCTACTCGCTGATTATTGGAATGACTTCCAAGCCAATCATAAGGATCTGATTCAGGGCGCACCTGTAGACAAAGTTGCTTCCTTGAGAGCCCTGTACAGGTCCACAGAGGGATACTACCTCGACGCTAAGGCGTGCCTGTATGACGCTAGGATTCGGCTGTTCCCGACCATGCCAGGAGGTGGTGGCCAGTTACCACTCCCCGGACCGCTCCTTGGACTGCACTCGGGCCCTCGCCTGCTGAGCATCAATATCCCGCTCGTCTCTGGCTGTCGCGAGGATTGGCAGTCTTTCCACGACCTGTTCCAGGCACTCATTCACCAGGATGCTCGGCTCACCGACGTCGAGAGGCTTTACTACCTAAAGGCAAACGTGCAGGGTGAGGCAAAAGCAGTTCTGGACACCTTGCAGCTCGGTGGCTCCAATTATTCCATGGCCTGGAGTCTTCTTGTCTCTCGGTTCGAGCATCGCCGCCTCCTTGTGCAGGACCACGTCATGGCACTCCGAACGCTCAAGCCTCTGCGCGAGGAGTCCGCTGCTGGTCTGCAGGGCTTGCTCGATGCCTTAGAAAAGCACCGTGATCAACTGCAAGCGCTCAATCAGCCGGTGGAACATTGGGATGTGTGGATGGTCTCTTTTGCCTCAACCGCCATGGACCCCTTGATTCGGAGAGCCTGGGAAGACGAGCTCGAGAAGTTGGAGGCAGCCAGCTCTGCACAAGGGGAAGCGGTCTCCCTCGCCACTTTGTCCAGCTTTCTGCGGAGGTGCGGCCGCTCACTGACTTCAATGGAAGCCTCGCGCCCTCCCCGATCGACGAACGATCCTGTACGCTCGACCGGCAGTCGCCCTCCCGCGCCGACGCCACTCAGCCGCAACCACCGATCTTTAGCCACCCATGCAGTCAACGATGACTGCACTGCTTGCCACGTGCCGCACTACGTAGGTCACTGCAGCCGTTTCCTGGAACTGGACGCGCTTGGGCGAAAGGGTTTCGTCACTCAGCACAAGCTGTGCTTTAACTGCCTGAAGCCGGGCCACATGGCAACTGTCTGCCCTTCCCAAGGCGTATGCCAATATTGCAAGGCGCGGCATCACAGCCTCATCCATGATGGCGGTCGCAAGCGCAGGGCCGTGCCCGACCCAGTACCAGCTGAGGCAAAGCAGTGTCTCTTCACCTCGGACTCCAAGGACGGGATCGACGCGGCAGCTGCTTCACCGTTGTGTCTAGCCGTCTTGCCCACGCTCAAGGTTCAGCTCATGGGCCCTGGGGGGCGGACAGTCACAGCCAGAGCACTCGTCGACGCTTGTTCGGAGATTTCAATCACGTCCACTGCACATGCTCGAAAGCTTGGCGCCAGTCACGAGCCAGCCGTCACGAGCATCTCTGGCGTCGGAGGCGCTGTCTTTATGCGCTCCCCAACGATTGCAAGTTTGCAGCTCCAAACCCGGAACTCAACCCAGACGTTGCGGCTGACTGCGCACTGCTTGCCCCAAATGGGACTCTACACCCCCTCCAGACCGTTACAACCAGCCGTCATCGAACTCTGGAACGATTTACTAGATCTTTCAGACCCAACCTTTGGAATACCGGGCAGCGTCGATATCCTACTTGGAGCCGACGTGTACCCCATCTACTACGGCCAGGGCAGTTATTCCGTGGAGATCTCGTCGGACAGCTCACCGTTGCCGGCTGGATGCTCGCGGGTCACGCACCGGGCCAAGCGACCTCGTCCTCGCCGGCTGCTTGCATGACGACACAGGACACCTCAGCTCCGCCTTGGCACGAGCAGCTAATCGCACTGATGCAACGATTTTGGGAATTGGAGGACGTGCCACGGGTAGTTCGTCAATTTCCTGATGACATCGAGTGCGAGGTCATCTTTGCCGATCATCATCGGGCTGCCGACGGGCGCTATGTCGTCCGCCTCCCGCTGAAGCGCGATGGAATTGAGCGACTAGGAGAGAGCTTAACCGGCGCTAGAGCATCCCTTCGTTCGTTACAGCGCAGATTGCGGGGTGCCCCGGAGATGGCCATCGAATATACACGCTTTATGGACGAGTATCTTAGGTGCGGGCACATGCGGTTACTGACCGACGTGGAGCTGCGCGAGTCAGAGTCACCAGTGCCTATGTGGCTCGCAAGGCCTGGATTGTTGGCGGGCGGCGGCGAATCAAAAGCATTCTCCAGGGATGCGTGGTCTGCGCCCGACTGCAGGCGCGGCCTGCCACTCAACACATGGCACCTCTACCGGCCGCACGGGTTACTCCTGCTCAAGCTTTCTCTCGCACTGGAGTTGACTACGCTGGCCCATTCAATATTTTGTCTGCTAAGGGCCGAGGCATCTGCACAAGCAAGGGCTACGTCGCGATCTTCGTCTGCATGACCACCAAGGCGTCACACCTTGAGCCCGTTGGTGATCTCTCCACCGAGTCATTCATTGGAGCGCTCACAAGATTCTGCGTCAGGCGCGGTCAGCCCTTAGAGATCTGGAGTGATAACGCCACCTGTTTCCGCGCCGCAGACCGTGAAATGCGCGAGGCTCTCCAGGATGCCGAGATAAAGTGGGAACGTGTTGCTGGCTCACTGGCTGAACAAGGCGTCACGTGGCACTTCATTCCTCCACGGGCGCCCCACTTCGGTGGACTATGGGAGGCCGATGTCAAAGCAATGAAACATCATCTCCGTCGTGCCCATGGACCACGCAACCTCACCTACGAGGAGTTTTCCACCGTTTTGGCCAGCATTGAGGCGGTCCTTAATAGCCGCCCTCTCACTCCATTCACCGGAGGCTTAGATGATCTGGACATCCTCACCCCTGGACACTTCCTCGTCGGTGGCCCGCTGAATTCTGTGCTTGAGGCCAGTACCCCGCCCGAGAAGCTAGATCGCCTAAGTCACTGGAAGCTGGTCCGGGGAATCCGAGACCAGTTCTGGAGCCGCTGGAGCCGCGAGTACTTGAACACGCTCCAACAACGACCAAAGTGGAAGGTCCCACGTCTTAATTTCCAGGTTGATGACGTCGTCGCCGTGGTGGACGCCACGCTCCTCCAGTCTAGCGGCACGTGGCCACTCAAGCGCATCATCTCGGTTCATCCCGGACCCCACGGGCTCGTTCGCGCCGCCACCATCCAGACCGCCACTGGTGAATACACCCGTCCCATCAGCAAGCTCTCTCTACTGCCCGTCCGATCGCCTAGTGCCAGCGACGCCGCCTCCAAAGACCCTGTGGCTGAATCTGACCCAGGTACGGTGGGCGGAGACTGAGATCGTTCACGGAACGAGACGGGCGGGTTGTGCAAGATTTGTCTTGCGCGCCCATGCCCTCCCCTCCCCCTCTTTCTGCTCAAAGAAGAGGGAGCTGCTGCTCGTTTGGTCTCTGCCAGCGCGAGCGCACGGATTGATCAAGTGGAGCCAACGTGTGTGCACGCCTCGACCTCCTGCTTCGCTGGGGACTCTCGAACCGGACCTCCACGTCGATCTGCCTACTCTACAATATCTGTTACGGCTGATCTGCCGATCTTGTATTTACTCGACGTCCTAATAAAGAGTAATTTAAACAATTATCTTGCACTTATAGTGTTTATGCCGCATAATAGATGTCACTATATATTATATATATATATAATATAAATTAACTCGGTATTGGTGGAGGGTGACGGTGATTGTGCATCTGATGAGCTGATCGAGTTATTTTTAATGAGTTGTCTAAATAGAAATTACTTTTTGGGACTTTTGATGAGCTTCGTCTGTTCGGCCATCAGGCTGGACACTGATTCGAATATCCGTATAGACACCAAATTAACTCATGTAAGTCGAAAACTTTCGTACGTATCTACCTCCGGGAGGTCAGATCAATAAAACATGGCAGGTGATACCGTAAAAGACTGAAAAAGAAAAAGACAGTGATTCGTTTTTATTTGACGATATAACGGATTGTGACATTGTACAGAGTAGTGGATGTGTTGATGACGAACGAAAAATTTTGCAACATCACGGATTGAGGGCGACGTAAACAGCAATATTACGAACAAGACAAATGGGCCCAGCAAAAGCATGAAAGTAACGAAAAATACAATCGCTTCCAATTTACCCTTTCCTTTACCATCTAAAGAAAACGAAACAACAAAATTCTTTCATTTGAACTGCAAAGGTCCGTTTGTCGTATAAGTTAGACCTGTCAAAGAGAACAAAGAAATTTTTGTACTTCATGTTAGTTAAGCTATCGATGAAAAGATATATCCAAGTGTAAAAAGTTATACCAAAAAGGGTAGATCAAAGATATAAATAATTTAAACCGATCGATAAGAGGCAAATAAACAGAAAAATGATAAAAATGTTCTCAAACACAGGTTTGAGACTTATGTCCCTAGCTTTCGCAAATCAAGAAAATAAATTATTCGTAGAGTAGATACCGATGTTAGGAAGAAAACTACAATAAACAAAATTTAATTTACCCAAGAATTAAAACTAATTAAAATAAAACGTCTTGACCTGAAAAGCAGGACATCAACAAGTGAAGAAAATAGGGGGACCCTCAGCAAATCGATTCTTCTGACTTTCAACAGCCGAGAGTTACCTAGAGAAATATTTATTGCAAAAGTAAGATTTTTAGTTGAACCATATGCTTCCGAACTATTACAATGCTTTAAATACTTAAAATTTGGCCACAAACAACAAGTATGTAGATATAAAGCTAAGTGTATTACGTGTGGAAAAAAAAGCCCAAAGGAAATTGTCTTACAAAAGATCTTAAATGTGTAAAGTGTCCTGAAAGTGAAAACGACCACAAGAATTTAGATTCTAGATGTAAGTTCTACTAGAAATATACCGAAATAAATGTCAGCAATGGCACATGACAATATACCTTTTAAGGAAATGAAGGTTCAAGTGTTGGGCCAAAGAGAAGTACCTTACAGAACAATAGAAAATTTTCCTGATCTAAAGGAGAAAACTTTTAATAAAGCCCGTGAAATTAAAAATAATCATAGGAAATCATATGCATCTGTCACTGCTGCTACTCTAACTTCTGCAGCTATAACCCTCAACAGCCATGAACAAAACAAATATCCAAAAAACACGAGCAACATGAACGGGCCAAACAAAGAGAATCTTAGTCATTGACTGGAGAAGGCATGTTCTGACTAGCATAAACAAAGTCAAACACAGTTCCATCTTCAAGTTAGCAATTAGACAACTCTCAAAAATAAATTTTATACACAAATCTGAATAATTTTAATGGTGGTAAATATGAACTTATTTTAATAAATCAAAATGATAATGAATTATCACAAAAATAAAATTGATGGGGGCTGAAAGTCTGCTGAAATCGTATCAATCTACAAAATCTTCTACCCTTCCCTGATAAAGTTTCTCATACTTTATTTTAATTAACGTAACTTAAGTAAAACCTCGTTTTAATAAATTTTTTAATGCTTCTAATAGATATAATGATAAATGTTAATATTAATGGTTTTATAATACTGCAGTCGAATTATCGTAGTATTAAAAATAAGTTGGAACCAATGAACCAGGCTTAAATATACAATGTTATCATAGCCATCGAAACCTGGCTAGGACTGGACTATATGTTCCAAATAAAAGGATTTAAAGTCTCACTAATTAATAGGCTAGATAATAGAGGAGGAGGAACAGCCTTTTTTATCAGAGACAATATCATTTATCACCACCTTGCGCTCAATAATGTTTCTTCTTACATTGAATCAGATAGTATAATGATTGATACACAATTTGGTAGCATTGCAATAATAGCTGTCTACAGACCCCCCACACAATAGCCGCAATATCCAAAATAATAGTTGGAAAAATTGTATAAATGAAATCATTGATCTTGACTCCTTCATTATACTAGATGATTTTATTCCATGTCACCTGCTATGAAAAAGTTTGAAATACTGTTCCAAAGGAAATTTCATAGCAGAAATTCTGGACCCAGAAAAAATCTTTATTTTGAACGACGGTGGTCCAACTCATTTTTATTTCTTTAACGGCGAATATAAAACTTCTTGCATAGACTTGTCTTTGATCTCCCCTTATGTAGTTCTGATTACTAAATGAAATGTGCTAGAAGGCTCTTGATCCAGAAACCACCTCCTAGTTAACGCGAAAGTAAGTATTACTCTAAAGTTAATACCAATATTTGATTATAGGTTTAATAGCTAGAAAATTAGCTGGTAACTCCTTCAGGATAAATTATGCAAAGCAGAACGCATGTTTACCAGCCTCGAATTCACGAACGCAGATGTTTTAGAAAGATATGGTAATTTTATTGACTCTATATCAATGGCTCTTGCAAGTTCTCGGCTACCTAAAGCTCGTCCTCCAGAGATGCCGGCTTATTGAAATACAAATAACTTTAATAAAAAATTCCCAAGAAAAATTAATAATAACAAAATAACTGCATTTGGTGGAATGAGACATGTCAAAGAGCAGTCAGACTTAGAAAAGCAAAGCTTAAACCACTAAAAGATCGTTGTAATTTGTCCAATGTTATTGAATAAAAAAAATTTTTCACGCAAACTACTTTTATCTGAAACAATTTAGAAAAAGCTTCCACAATTTCTGTACATCAATTTATAAAAATACGAACATTACAGAAATATAGCGTAAAGTTAAGCTATTCAAAAATCCTGAACAGGCCACCTTCAGTAGGCAGACAATAAGTCGCAGTTGATAAGTGCACAAGCATTTCCAAGAATAGATGTGTTACCTATACCTGATAAGGCTGCACACGAGAACTCCGTCCATCCATTCTCATATAAAGAGCTCAAGATTCATACTCTTTACAATGTAAATATGAACTCTTTACTCGGGGTTGATAAAATTACATGCAAAATTCTAAGCTATCATCCTGAATTTAACAAACGGATTCTCTTAGATATTTTTAACGACTTATATAACAGTGGAAATTTTTCATCTCAATGGAACATATACATTATTTCTTTTATTCCTAAGGCTAACGGAAAAGTTAGACCAATTACATTATCTTCCTGTATTTGAAAAATTCTTGAAGAAATCATAAATGGCAGATTAGTCTGGTCGTTAGAAAACAATAAAATATTTTTATCTACACAGTTTGGCTCAAGAAATGGAAAGTTCAGTCTTGATTATCTTACCTTACTTACCTGATACATCCAAAAAAACTTCTGATATATCAAAAACAGTAAATAATTTCTTTATTTACAGACATTAAAATAGTGTTTGACCATATTGTTCCTTTAATATTACTTAAGAATCTGATTCACTTGAATCTTCCCAGACAACTCATACTTTTTGTCCAAAACTTGATAACCGAAAGGAGGCTTACTCTCCTAAATTTGACAGACACTTACAGCTCAAGTTATGTAGTGACTAAAGGCCTCTTACAAGGTAGTGCAGCAAGCCCTATACTTTACGCTACTTATACTAAAAATATTAATAAAATCCCAAATAAAGACACAATATTTTTAGAGTTTGCACACGACTGTGTCATCTCAATTGAGGGCCCTAACATGAATAATATGATTCAGAAATAAGAACCGGACGTGCACAAATTATCAGCTACTCTTCAAACCAGAGGTCTATTTATACAAACAGTTAATTCTGGATTAATAATCTTCAGTAAAGGAGACATCAAATAAGATCAATACTCTATCACAATAGACAAAATTAAAATTTTTCCATCTGATTCAATAAAATTTCTGAATGTGCACGTGGACAAAATGTTACATTTGTAAAGTCATATTAAAAACGTATTTAAAAAATCTAATCTTCCCATAAAAGTTATCTCATGTTTGCGTAAAACTTAGGAGGGTGATTATCCAAGAACCCTAATTCTGCTACATGATTTAATGGTCAGATCAAGGCTTAAGTACCGTGGATTTCTTCTCTTCGTTCCTTCAATCACTTATCAAAAAAAAATTTCAGTCAATACCAAACTGTGCTTTGAGAATGGCTATGGGATATAAATTGACTACGTCTTTAAATGTTATACATGGAGAGACTGAAACTCAATACCTTCAAACAAGAATTTTAATCACTAGGCCTGAAGTATATACTAAAAAATTTGTCCATTGATAATAACCAGGTAATGAAAAATTTCGAAAAACTCATGGAAGTATCACAAACCATTAACTACAAAAATAATTATAGGAAGCCCTTGCTTCTTACCTGCTACCAAAAAACTTGGCACCTTAATGGACCAATTCAGTCCAGAAAATTTCACCACAAATACGTAGGTCAATACAAAAACTTATTTTGCAATAGTC